AGCGGGGGGGGGGGGGGGGGGGGGGGTCCTGTGTGAAAAAAATGGTCTAGAGTTTTACAATGGTGGATTTTATGATTTTGTAATGAATCTAGTATCACTAGACATGAGACTGTATCTTACACTCCCCATGAAAACGGATTTGCTGAAAGGATAAAACATACTTTGCTTGATAAAATTAGATATATGCTATTAAGTTCTGATGTGCCAAAATTATTTTGAGGTGAAGCCGTTATGACTAATATGACTTCATTTGTTGCTCTGAATGGTGATACTCCGTACGAGATATGGTACGATAAATCTGATGATTATTCTATGCTAATAACTTTTGGCAGTATTACTTTCTCCCATCAAAGTGAGGGAAAATTATAACCTAGAGCAAAGAAATGCATCCTTTGAAGTTATCCTAAGAGAGTTAGGAGATATAGGTTATGGAATAGAAGTCAGAAGGGTGTGAAAATAATCATAAGTCGTGATGTCACATTTAATAAGTTTGAGATGCCTTGTATAGAGAGACGAGATTGAGGAAGGAACCCAAAAATTATCTGATTATATCATAGCATATACTAGTTATCAAAAACTAGTTGATAAAGAGTCAAAAACTTATGAAGAGGCTATGGAGATTGAAAAAAGGTGAGGAATTACGAGGTGTCATGAGAGAAGAGATGAGCTCTCTTGCTAAGAATCAAACTTCCTAGACCTAAGGATAAACTCATAGTAGAATGAAAATGGGTTTAAAAGACCAAGGAGGGAATTATTGAGAATGAGCCCATGAGATATAAGCTAGGTTGGTAGTAAAATGATACATACAGAAAGATGGCTAGATAGTAATGAGATCTTTTTGCCCATTGTTAAGTACAATATCATTAAGGTCATGCTTACTTTTGTTGCTTACTATGATTGGGAACTTGGATAACTTGGTATCAAAACCTCTACTTCTTCTTCTTCTTCTTCTTCTTTTTTTTTTAGTGTGGTGTTCTTAATGAAAAGATTTTTAAGAATCAGTCCAAAGATTTTGAAAGTAAAGACAAAGTAGATCGTGTGACTCTTGTGTGAGTTGGAAGTCTTAACTCCAATTTATTGTTGTTCTATCCATTACTAAATTTGAGTATACAGTTGCCACAGAATCTTAATTTGTGATTTAGAGGTTTACTTGATGAACTAGGTATTTTAAGTGATAATATGATTGTAAACTTTGATAGTCAATCTACTATTTATCAGTGCAAGAATCACGTGTTTCATGAATGCACTAAACATATAAATGTTATACTGCATTTTATTATATATGTAGTATTTTAAGAGTTGATAAAACTTGAAAAAGTGCATTCAAATTATAACCCCGCAATTATGGGCACTAAGGTGCTCCATCCAATAAAGTTTAAAAGATGTCTTATATTTTTGAACATTGGTAAAGGTACGTAATGTTTCAATTTTGTTTAAAAAGTGTAAAGCGTGGTTAGGCGTGGAGTCAAAGTTTCAAACTTTACGAACTTAAGTGAGCCTAGGTGAGACTTAGGCGTAAAAAAAAGTTTTCTTATTTAGCCCTTGTTTGAACCCCATTCTTGCCAAAAAAATGAAATTTTGAATAATGTATTGATGGAAAATGTGTGATTAAAAAATAAAGATAAAATTTGAATTTGCATGTAATATTATTTTAATAAAAAATACATGTTGAGATGGGGTCAAATCACTGTTGAATAATATATTTTGGTAAAAATAATAGGGCTCAAACAAGGGCTTATAATATTATTTTAAATTTTTAATCATGTTAAAAATTATTTAACAATTAAAATTTTAATTAGTTGATTATAGCATGATGATGAGATGATATTTTTAGCATTATAAGGATGTCTAATATCTTGATTCTTGTTATATGTTACTATAAGGTGTTTGGCGGGGATTAAAATTATATTTTTATTAAATTGTGATAGAAGTTTTTGAAATATGTTGCTGAAAAGTTGTGGAATTTATGAAAGATGTGGTTAATATTGAATGTTTGATTTTGATTTAAATTAAAATTAAATTTTAATTCAAACCAAACATGCACTATACTATAAACTATTAAAGGATATAAACTCAATTTTCGATAAAAATTGTATAAACGAAAAAATATAATTATTATCAAACTTCTCCGCTCACTGAGCTATAAAGTCATATTTTTCCTCGATTTCTCTTGTTAGGTAGCAGTTGAGTTTTTGGGTATCTTTAGGAGTTGAGCTTTTGATTTTGGAGTTAGATCCATACGACATAGTTTGCTAGTATGACTCCTTTTTGTGGAGCATGTAGTCAGTGTTTTTGGACACATGTTTATTTTTGGATGTGACTTAGTAGATAGCTATGAAGCTCAATATGTATTTTGCATCAAGATGTACATTTCATGTTATTTTCGTAGTAAAAGTTGAGAATTCGATTTATCTCTATTGTGTTGTGTATTGTTGGGATTGATGCATAGTGGATTACATGTTGATTAGTTATATTTACAGCGGAAATAATGTCGAAATTTTATTAAAAATAATTTTTATAAAATGTTGTATACTGTAATAGCATTGATGGTGGGTTTGACTTTTAGTTGATATCTATCTTCAGCGCTTGTTACATTCTGGGTCCACTAGTGTTATATTGAGCGGGGCGTGTCATATTTGACATAAAGATAGATGTTTGTTAGGTACCCGATACCAAGTAAAATATGGAAGGTGATGATAAATTGATCATCAGCCTTGAGCCCTTTATTGAATTTTATATTTTGATTGATTCAAGGTTCCAATTGGTGGCATATGGAATCCAGATGGACCGTGAATCTCACGTGGTAATTAGGGGTTGACTCATTTATATTTACTTGGCCTATATTTTGTTAGATATTTATACTATAAATATAAAATGTGAAAAAAATAATCAATTTAGATGAAGTGCCCAAGTAATGGAAAATGTGACATTTGTGTGGAATGTCATAGGTTCGGGTCACTCCCTATGCAATTATTAAAAAGTCTTTGATTCGGGCCTTGGCTCTTGGGCTTCTTTAACTAAAATAAATTACACACACACACACACCCACTACTACCAAAGTCATTAAAATTTTGCATATTTTTCTAGATCATGGAAGTGGCAGTTACATCCAGTTTGCTTATATAAATTTATCTCTCGTTTTGGCAAAAACACACACAAAAAAAGAAAATAGAAAATCATCCAAAATGAAATCCTATTTCTCATATTCTGAATTTTTTTCTCAAGTTTTTACATATATTCTGGAGTGCATTTGAGAATTTTAAAAAACTATTCATGATTGCTGTACAAGTGGTTTATGATCGTTGTATCTTGAGAGTGATTGTCCACAGAGGTAGCAGCACTTATTGACGAGCAATTTCACTTTAGGACATCGAGTTGTCATGAGACTCGATCGAACGATAAGTTTTAGTTCTACATTTTACTGTTCTGCACGTTACAACAACTAATTATTTTTACAACAATTTTGACCTACCCTAATTTTCATTTATATAAGTGGATTTTGTCCACTATGAGAGACATTATACACATTACACACGGTTGCCTCTTCTTTTCCTTGGTTGCACAACTACTCTTCTGTGGTTCTTTGTGCTTTTTACTTGTGCTTCCTTTGCACCTCCTATAAGTGTCTGTCGTCGGCCTGAGTAACCCTCGTGTTGGGCGCGGAAGCTCCAATACCACTTGTTGTTCCCAAACCGAATTGTAAAGAATAAAATTTAATGACTATATTGAAGTAGACAAGATTACACCACGAAACAAGATTTAAATTGTAAAGAGGAACAAAAGGATTAATGCAGAAGAACGATATTTATTGTATCTACAATATGGAGAATACACAGCAATCTAGCAATTGTCTTCTATCTGTTTCATTTAATAGAACTAACAGAAGAGCCTTCTACTTGTAGGCCAATCCTATAAAAGTCCTAAAAGGTAAGAAAATATATTCCAATTAGGAGACCCAATTTCAACAGAATTTTGTTTCCTTTTGTTGGATGCAATTAGATTCCATTTTCAAGTAAAAGTCTAACATGTATCTTTAAAAGACTCCTAACCAATTTCTAGGATTTCACTTGATCAAATTCTAAATCAACAATAATCCTAATACATTTGAGTCACCAAACATAGCAATCTCCACATTGACTCAAATCCATCTGCATCGAAATTAACTGGCCGACTCTCCTCAACATAGTAACCACTCCTTATAAACCAAACTCTTGTCCTCTACCCTGCGTCCATAATCGACACCCGAACCCAATCTCCAGGGTTCCCAATTCCACCAAGGAATTAATGTTGATTACACAGGGCGGAAGCACACCCTATAATAAGAACCAAACCAGATGCTTGATCAAAAGGCCCCTTGCTGGAACTATCGACTTCAACATCCCCAGAAGCATCCCAGACATTGCTGACACCACGGTACCTACGCTCAATGAGTCCAACCCCAGCAACTGAACATAATGTACCAGCTGAAATTGGTGACAAAGCGAAATCACCAACGCTTTCCCTAACAGTGTTCTGAACCGACTCAGAGCCCAACACAAGAGGTACTGTACCAAATCGAACTTTCACCACGGTACTAAACTTGTCTAAATGTCTCCTCTTAATTAGTTCTGCACTTCCTTGCAAAATGTACAACTAGGATCTTCTACGTCCCTCCAGTATAATCCGAACTCTCATTCAGACCTTCAAGACTCCACCTCTTCCAGACAATTTATATCATTTTGCATCCAAGGTACTCAGCAAAATGAGATTTCTTTTCAGGTCAGGAACATGTCAAACTTGATCAAGTGTTCTAAATGTTCCATCTCGTAGCCTCAATTTAACTCGACCGATCCTAGAAATAAGGCAAGATTGGTTGTCTCCCATTACAACTCCACCCTGCTAAACAGCCTCATATGTCTTAAATAAATTTCAATCGAAACATATATAGTGTGAACATGCTGAATCAAGAATCCACTCCTCGTCGGGCCTAGACTCCACATCAGATATCACGGTCAACATCATTTCTTCGCCATCTGAACAATTCTCAACTACATTGATTTTGTCTGAATTCAAAGGTTGTACCCCACGATTTGCAGCTAAATCACCTTTAGTTTGCAACATATCGTAATCCTTCCGAATAGGTCCATTCCTTTTGCAGTAGTAATAAGTCACATTGCTAAATCTAACTCCCGATTTCCCTCTTCGTCGACTACCTTGAGATACAAGAACTTCCCTATCCCTTGATATAGCTCCAACCAAATACTTCATCATCTTTTTTGAGTGCAAAGTATCATAGACATCTTCTATAGTCAAAGTATCTTGACTATAAAAGATAGTATCCCTAAACGATGCATAAGAACCAGGTAGTGAACACAACAGGATCAAGGCAAGATCCTCTTCATCGTACTTAACCTCCAACATTTCCAAATCTACAGCTATTTCCTTGAACACGACAATGTGATCTTCCAACGATCCTCCTTCCGTGATGTGATGAGAATACAACTTCTGCTTAAGAGCCAGTTTACTGATAAGACTCTTAGTCATACATAACTGTTCTTGTCTCAACCACAAAGCAGCCGCCGTCTTCTCCTTCAAGACATCCTGCAAAATATTATTGTATAAATAAAGATGAATCAACGACATAGCCTTTTGATCCTTCCGTTGTTTCTTCTTCATTGTCCAATCAGCTGGCATCTTCTCACAATCCGCAATGCATCGTCCAAATCCAACTTCGTCAGAGCAGCCGTCATCTTTACTTGCCACAAAGAAAACCTTGTATTGCGATCTAATTGCGGAATATCATGCTTCAACTTAGCTATCCCGAAAAATCTCAACCAATCTACAAAAGGAACCAAGTTCTAATACCACTTGTTGGGCATGGAAGCTCAGATATCTCTTATTGATCCCAAATTGGATTGTAAAGAATGCGATTTAATGACAATATTGAATTAAAGAAGATCACACTATGAAACAAGGTTTAAATTGTAAAGAGGAATAAAAGGATTAACGTAAAAGAACGATGTTTATTGAATCAACAATATTGAGAATACAAAGCAATATAACAATTGTCTTCTATCTGTTATATCTTAAAAAATGGAGAGATGAGCCTTGTATTTATAGGTCAAACCTAGAAGAGTTCTAAAAGGTAAGAAAATTTATCACAATTAGGAGATCCAATTTCAATAGGATTTTGTTTTCTTTTGTTGGATACAATTAGATTCCCTTTCTAAGTAAAAGTCTAACACGCATTTTCAAAAGACTCCTAACCAATTTCCAGGATTCCACTTGATCAAATTCTAAATCAACAATAATCTTAACACATTTGAGTCACCAAACCTAACACCTGGCAACCAACGTTCGTGCCTTGGTTTCTGTTTCGGCCTCCATTGTTCTGTTGCTCTTTGCTCCGTTTCTTGGTTGGTTCCATGGCTAATTTCTTCATGATTTTAGTGAGATTCTTGGGTCCAATCGCATGTGTTGTTACCTTGTTGCCTTGGTTGGTTAAATCTGAGCCCCCGTTACTCCATTGTTGATTTTGAATGTGGCTTTTTGATTGGGAAGTGTTATTCTTGCATTTTTCAATAGTTTAATTCGATTTCTTTGATTTGATTAGAGTTTAACTAACCTTGTATTTGATTATCTTTAATTGTTAGGAATCATTTTACAACACTTGGAATAAAAAAAAAATTAAAAAAAAAATTAAAAAGTAACTAGTTAAATTTCCCTTCGTGAAAAAGTTAAGACTATCTAGGATATGAGACAAAGGAATACCTTATAGTCTCACGCTATTTATATAATTTGGAGGTCTACTTGAGAGTTTGGAATGACAAAGATGTTATGTGGTTCTAACAATTTTACAAATAATAGATAAATGTTTATTTTTTACGGCCATGGTTTGTCCCTCATCGACCCTGAGTTTTCTAAATTTGTGTTCTTATCATTGTTGTTCTAAATTTCGATACAATTTGATATTTCTCAAAGTTAAATAAATAAAATGTCAATTTAATATAATAGTTAGGACGGTGTACGTACCTCAGCAAGGATGGTTATCTCAACGGTAGAACTTCCAAATGGCAGGGCTCTAATGTCTAAGACGTTGAGGTACAGTTTTTCCATTTCGTACTGAATTCTTGATATTAATCCCTTCTGTTTCTTGGTGCAAATTTTGATCAGTACATTCTTGTTTGAAATTCTAGCACTTATTTCAGCTGGGGCTGATTCTCTTGTGCTGCAATAATTGGAGCTCTCTCTTGATGACGAAGAAGTATCATCATTAATTATTGTAGGATAATTTGCATAATTAGAGTTACTGATTGAGTTTTTGTTGGCCTCTTCAGCTTCTTCTTCGAGGATTCTTACACGTTCTCGAAGCTCTTGCACGTACTTGGTAGCATCTTGCAGTAGAGAAGCTTTGTCCAACTGAAACAAAAATTAAGTATCAACTATTATTTGATATCGAAGTTGCTTATTTAAAATGTTATAAGCTTCTAAGAGTGGTTCAAAGTGGTATAAATTTGCTTCTAGAGAATCAAACAAATTGAAAACTTGAACTAATTATTAAAGCTAGCAAAAGAATATTCAATCATGCTATAAATCATGCTATAAGTACAGAATATTTTGACGGAAAATTTTGAATGACAACACATGATGCGAAATCATCAGAAGATGGAGAGAGAGAAAAAAAGGTTAATCATGCGCCGCCATATCAACATCTATATGAATTATGTCAACATTTTTCCGTCGTGACTTTTTCCTAGAACATTATTGGAAGAAAATGTTACCTTTTTCAGACCTGGGACAACTTTAGAAAGATCAATAAAAAGTTGGCTTAGCTTCTCTCGGCGTTTCCTCTCGGCCATAAGGTGATCTTGAGCCTGCAAAGGACTCCTGATCATGGTCCAAACTCTCTTGTCCCCCATCTCATGTGCTGCATCATATAATTTGTTTTTACCAGAAGTATCTTCTGTTGGTAAAGATGAAAATTTTATGACTTTTGAGGATATAGAAGAATCCCTTGGCAATATCCTAAGCAATTTCTCATCAGTTTGCTTTGGAATTCCGAAAGAAATTAATTGAGAGGAGGAGGAGGAAGAAGAAGCCTTGCTTATTATTTCTTGAGGGCCATTAATATAAGAACTCCAACTGGTATAATTACTCGGTTGTTTGGCCGGGGAATTTAAAGCATCAATCGGGGTGAATAATTGCTGATCATAAGACAATATCTCATCAAGAATAGGCTCAAGATCACAGAATTCATCAAGATTTGCTTCACCTTTTGAATTGACCAGGCCCTCATCAATTTCCATGTACATGTTCTACAATCAAAATTTTGAAGCAAAAGACAAAATCAATTTCTTCCCTTCAAATTTCGAAATAAAAAATATAAAGGAAAAAAAAAGGTATAATCAAGAGTTGCACAGATCCATTTTTTTTTTTTAAATTTTTTTTGTAAGGGTTCATTCATCAGGAGAAAATAAATATGAAGACAGCATACAAGATACACTAGTTATTTCGAGTAAATCGATATCTTTTTGCGTGCACAAGAAATTAAGAAACGCATATAGGTGGATCTAAGGTAGATTGGACCAGTAGAATCTCACCTCTGAAGATACACAATTTTTCTTGTATCTCTCGACCAAGAAATTGTTCTTCTTCTTCTGATATTCAACGGGAAAATTACTTAAAAGAAGAAAAAAATAATAATAATATCAGTACATTCTCTGTGGGCGCAAAAGATTTATAGAACACAAACCCTAGATTGGAATTTTGTCTACTTTAAATGGTCAGAAGATAAACATATTCTCTCTTGCTTTTTGTCTGTACCAATGATTTGAAATGTACTTCATACTCGCGTGTGAACGGGTATGCTGTCTCCTTCATTTACTGTAGCAATGGAGGCTAATACGTATTCTCTCGTATATCAAAACAGCGTAGCTTTCTGTATGAAAGAGATATATATGAAATAATCAAGAAAGTCACTTTACAAGATATTAAACAGACAAGCGTGTTTAGCCAAGCTTAAAGATTTTACTTATAATTTAAATAGTTTTTTATTGGTCAAAATTAAAACAAGTTACTTTTTTACTTTTTAAGCTTGCCCATACATGTTTTATTACTTTATAATATATAAGATCATACATATCATGTGAGGATTTTCACGATCCAAATTAACTAAACATCAAATCTCATCATTATTAAAAAAATGCAACAAGACATAATGCTCTAATTGTGTTCATATTAAACCTATTTCATCAATTTAACCCATTAACTATTCATCAGAGGTGGGTGATTGTATATTAATTGTACATGCACGACGTAACCTCATCCGACTTATTGAATTAGACCGTATAATAATTCTGGATAAAATTAAATGAGTGTGCTAGTTGTACATCATAAATTATAGATTTGTTTATCAACAAATAATGCGGCAAGACTTGATTGAGCCAAAATCTCATGAACCAAATAAATAAATAAATAAATCCCTTAGGGAGTGTTTGATAGCATGGAAATGGAAAAAAAAAAGATGGAATTGGAATTGAAAATTCCAACTTTTGGTGTTTGATACCTTATATTTTCCATGGAATTGCATTTTTTGGATTTCTTGAAACTTGAAATTTTCCTTGTTTTGGTGGAATTTTAATTCTCATCATATATGATGAGAATTCAAATTCCACCCTACTGTAGCGACCTTTTTTTTTTTTTTGTTGGTAATGGAAACCAATTCTAAGAATTATTGTAAAAAAATATTTTCCTTTAATTAACAATTTCCATGTAAAACAAAATCAAAGGAACATGAAAAAATACTTTTATTTCAACATTTTTTACCTGAAAAATTATACCAATCAAACACAATAATTTGCAATTCCCAGGAAAATAATTCTAGGCAATTCAATTCCCTGAAACTCATTTTCTAGGTAATTCAATTCCATCTTTGTAATCAAACGGACCCTTACTTTCTTTTTGATATTTCATCAATTAATCTTGTTTTTCAAGATTTTTTTCATAGATATGTTATCGAAAGTTAAAAGCCAAGACTAATGAATTTATGATTTTGATACTATTTGGATTACTGAATATAAATTCATGAACATTTTAACTTTTTTAACTGAATAGTTATAGGGTAGAAATTATGCCCTTGTTTGAGCCCCATTTTTTTTGGAAGAATGAATTTTTGAATAGTGTATTGATGGGAAATGTGTGGTTAAAAAATAAGGAGAATTTTTGAATTTGTGTGTAATATTATTTTATTGAAGAATGTGTGGTTGAAATAAAATACTGTTGAAAAATGTATTTTTTTCAAAAAAAAAAAAAGGGTCTCAAACAAGGGCTATATTGCATATTTTTTTTTTCCGAATTCTTTTCATGTTTATATTCGTTTATTATAATAATATTTTCTTGCATCTCTAATGGCAAGAAAAATAAATTTTACCATATTATTAAAAAAAAAAAAAAAAAAGGTTGAACCCCAACCTTAAGGGCCCCCACCGACCCTACCCTGGGCTATCGTGGAGGAGGTAAATTGCAGGATGTGCCTCCCAAGAGCCAGGGTGGAGAGCACATGGATAGGTCAAAACTGTTAACCCATATGGTAACTCCTGCTTGCAACAAAGCCAATTCCACTTTGCGGGGAATCGAACTCTGCACACCGCCGCGCTGAACCCTATCCGCCCTCCCCTTTGCCACTGGGAGATATGCCCTGAGGGCAATTTTACCATATTATTAATTTGATTGGAGGTGGCATGCATGGTGCAAAATGTCAACAGACCGACAATACACCAAGTAAAGTTATTTGGGAGAAAATAATTTGCATAAAATACTTTCTCAATTATGACATCATATATTTAAAAAAATAAATTTTTTATTGCTTTATAATGATATAAATTAGTTGTTACATTTGCGGAAGATCTGATGCCTGAAGATCTTATGATGAAAATGAAGATTGCAAGCAACTATTTGTTGTACTGGCTTAGTAGATCAACTTAATTATAGACATTGTGATTTTTAGTAAGATTATATACGCATACCCACATTATTAAATAAATAACAATCTCTAACAACTTCCACACAACATTATAAATTAATAAAAAATGATCACGTTACGATACAATTGCATCACGATGAAGTCAAATTTGTGGATTTTTGGGCAAGTTGTAGGCCCCCAGATTCTTGGACTGTCATATTTTTATTTCAGTTTATATAATTAATTAACCAAGCAAATATGGCATGAGATCTGATAACGATTATCTGATAATTGTTCATGTTTCAAATGCAATTAGGGTTTGCCGATTAGGCTTTGAGAAATTGAAAAAATAATTATTGATTCCAATTTGGACGGTGCCTCACGCCACATAAATTATTAATTTAGAAAAAACATTAAATTAAGTTCAAAGTTCTATCCGTATTAGAGGGCTGTTAAGTTTGGAATTTCATAGTTGTGAATCTTTAACAAAAAGCAAGAGAGAAATGGGGAAATATGGTAGGGTTCTAAGAAGAACAGAGATTTTCATACATGATAAGAATATCAAAGTTTAATTTTAGTTGGCTTTGCAAAGCAACAAGTCTAAAAACAGATCTTCGCAGATGTAACAACTAATTTATAAGAATCACTAGTCCAAAAAAATTAGCAAGTTGTATCAAGGAAGAAACCATACTCAAGATGGTGATGAATGAGATGATATTTATTTTCAATGTGCTTCAGCCGCTCATCGTACTGAGTTCTGAGGTTTGAATAACAATAAAATATTTTCAATCATACATTTACACAATAAAATATTTTGCATGTAAACACAATTTTCCTACTTTTAATCACAATCTTTAAAAAAATCACTATTTCAAAAATCATTTCCCCCAAAAACTCTTTAAAAAAGGAGACAAACAGAGGCTCAGCTTTGGTCGAATATGTGAAAACTATAGTACACTTCTTACTTTTTCAAGGATAAGAGAATCATGCAAAAATATACAATCCAAAATTACGAGAACTAAGGGAACAGTTAGCCAAGATGATATTAGAAAGATCACAAGGTACGCGACCAAGCAATATAAAGAATCTTACATCAATATCATTCTAACTCGAATTGGAGTTCAATTGCCTAAAACTACAACCATGGGACCAGTTTCACTTAATGAAAGGATACCTCCCACACGTGAGGAGCTAGCAGAGCGGTTCGAATAGTTCAAGATACCTCCCACAAGTGAAGGCATTTGTCTTATTGGAGATTACGTGCCTCCTATAGTGTATCATCTATAACGTGTTTATACTATATAAACTGCTCACCTAAATTCCATAGTTAGAACAAAAAACGTAGCTAATTTTAGTAGTTTAGTTTCTATTTTTATATGTTGACTCAAATTAGATTTTTGATGCTTTTCGTTTGTTGATTTTAATGCTTTTAAACATTTTATCACCATTTGAATTATTTGTGAAACATAATGAGATAGAGACCGAAATGAGATTTATGATTTTAGGCCGAATTGTGATCATTTGAGGATTTTCTAGCTATTTCATGCACTTAGTTGTGTCTTAATTCACATGGAGATGTTGTGAATTCATAAAATTAGGTAGGTTTAACTTTATTTGAGATACTATCAAAGTCTAAAAAGAAAAATTGAACCACATAAAACTTCGGTGAATTCAAGAATTCTAAAACCTCAACTTATTAATTGCAAAGTATCAAATTTATTACTCATGAGTAGATTTAGTTCAAAACACAAACAATTCACTATTTTTAATTATGAATTGTTCAAATTAGATTGAAGTTAATTGAATTTGATATTCGATCAAATATGTAATGTGGTGATTACCTTTAGCGTTGCACATGGCCAGTGGAGTGGCTACTGCATTCAACTGTGAGTTTGAGAGACAAAATTTTCTATATTCAATTATATCATTCGGAGTAGCTCCGATGCTCTCAAGTTAAGGAAATGTGCAGGAAGTAGATGTACTATGTAATTTTTATTTCTTTTCTTTTAGAGAGGAGATGCATGGAGTTTTAATATTTCCTCGAGAAGGTCAAAAAGAAAAAGGATAATACTAATCTTAAGGTTTTCAGATGTAAAACGTGGGATTAATAAATAATACAAATTAATTAGGAGGAGACATGTGGGACTTGGTTTTGGTGCATAATTAGGTCAAGGTTGTCCATTCAGAAAAGCCACCTCGAGGCGCCCAACAATGTCCTCCACCATCCAGCAGAATTTACCCTTCACCTGCATCAAATAAATTAAAACAAATTTTAATTAAAATTCATAATATCAGATCATAAATATATTAACCAGAAAATCAAGGACATTGAGGTGCGGTTGTTCCATTTCATACTGAATTCTTGATATTAGTCCCTTGTGTTTCTTGTAGCAAATTTTAATCAGTACTTTGTTGTTCGAAATTCGGGCCTTGATTTCAGCCGGGACTGATTCTCTTCTGTTGCCATTAGAGCTCTCTTTAGAAGAAGTGTCATCATTAATTTTTGCAGAATAATTAGCAGTACTAGATTTAGTGATTTGAGTTTTTGTTTTTTTCAGCTTCGTCTTCAAGGGTTCTAACACGTTCTTGAAGCTCTTGCACGTACTTGACTGCGTCTCCAAAACAAATGTCCTTTTGCTTGGGTTCTAATGTCTAGAAAACGAATAGCTTGTTTGGACTACCTTAAAGATAATTGATTCACTTGACACATACAATTTTGGAGAAAAAGTATTATTGCCGATAAACAACCTGACAAGCTTGAGAGCCACTAATTCATTCTATTTCCTGTTAAATAACTATTGTTTGGTCAGTATCTATGGGTGAAATACTAACATTTGGCTTATGTATGGTAGCGTTCAATTGACAAGTTATTACATTTTTGCATTA